CGTATAAGCACGTTCAAACTATGTACAAAATTGAAACATCGACGGACTTTCGTAAGTTTTATCGTGTTCTATCATCTTACTGGTAAACGCACGGAAGCCCAAAGCTTACCTATTGGAATTTCCTGGCAGCACTAGCTCGATCGTAGTATGGAATTTTTGCGAAAGTGGACCCATAAACATACCCACAGCGAACATCCTGCCTGTTCTATGTTTATCCCATACCCATTTCCCGTCGTCATGCCCCATTCTTTGGCATATGAAATCACCTAACGCAGTAGCGCTGGCAATTGCTAAAGTTGCACGCACATACAGTTTTAATGATGAAGGAGTAGAACCAGCCATTTCGCATGTGGAGCTATTAATAAAAGTAGTTATATCAAATATATGCACCTATACTAGATGAAAACACTACATGTATGTATATATCACAGATTAGCTTTTTCTCAGAAAGGTTGTTATCATGTGACATCTGTTGTTTTTAAAGATATTGGTATGTATCTTTACCGTGTAGTCTGTGTTCTGTATTGTGTAAAGGTATGAATCGGTGTTTGGAATGAATAAACGGTAATCGGATATGGGCGGCACAAATTAAAATCCTTATTTGGGTCATAGCCTTCTGAAATGTCCAATTTTCAGAAGGCTTTGTTTGCCGTTTGGGTGGCTTGAATACTACTTTTCCAAAAAGAAAGTTCATAGAAAAACAAATACGTTTATAGGAGGCTATGATACGTAGGCTATAAAAAACCCCGGCCCTTTGGATCAGTCGTATTTTTATTTCTTTTTTGAATAGAGAACTTGATTTTCGCCTCGAGACTGAGTGATGAGAGTCGAGACTCGAAACTCGAGAGACTAGGTCTCTTGCTGATCCGGAGACACCAGACTCACCAGTCACCAGAGGGCCTGGACAAACCCATGTAAATATTGTTCAGAGTAAATAGCTGCATATTCACGAAGACTCTTTTTTTTTTAAATGGTTTATTTATAGACTATAATTCTTACATTCCACTGATTTCAGGGCCCAGGCCCCAGCCCCCAGTGGGGCGTGGGACCATGCCCGCCGCGCGCCCAGTGCCCCAGTCCTCCACTCCAAACCTCATTACGTTTTGGTAGTTCACCGATACGTTTAACGTACAAATTTTAACGTATGCAAGAGAAGAAAAAAGGGCCTAACCTAATATTAAAACAATCGGATGGTATGAGGGGGTATATGTTTAGTCATTGTACCTCGGAGTTCAAATATTGCACCTCCATCAAACATGTTGAACCAATTATGAACATAACCAAACCAAAGTATTCATTAAAAATTAAAAGGATTGCGTAAAAGTTAAAAGGATTGAAGTGTCGAACGTAAAATCACTAAAAATGTAGTTGTAAATTCTTTGCTATTTAGTCCTTAGGTAAAGGGGGGGGGGGGGGTTTATAACAAAATATAATACTTTTTACGCCTAAAAACGACTAACGAGGGAGTTTTATGTAGTTCAATTTTAAACAGAATCCAATCCCCATTGGCTGAAAAAGATCTATCGAAACTGGTTCGGATTATGTTACATACCAAAAATAACTTCCGCAGTCCGCAGTCCGCAGTCCGCACCCAATTGATATCACCTATTTTCTTTTCATATTACATATTTTTTTTAAAAAGCATACAAATATGAATTTTATGGTTCCATTGCAGTACAATTGTTTGGGAAAAACCCCCACTTTCCTGTCCTCACTCCTCGAGTCCGCCCCGTGAGATGCACCATGATAACCACATTTTATAACAATGAATGAGATATATCTAAGTGCATTTTATAACAATGAATGAGATATATCTAAGTGCAACCTGTTTCCAGAGTACGCATTCTGTCTCTGTTAGTTCAACTGTGGTCACCACTCACCAGTCTACCAACCATTGTATAATAACTACAAACAACCACGAAAGCATCGGTATTATATAGCAATATACATCACTCACATACAAAACATACATCATGAAATTCTCACACGAAGCACTCGTATGTGTGTGCCTGAGCTTAAATTTAGCCACTGTAGTGTCTGCTTGCGATGTGGTTTTCTCGATACTGTCAGATACAAACAACGTCGTCGGCACAGAAGCTCTCATAGCAACCACTGGGGTGGTCTCGGATGATGGCAGTGGCATGCAATTATCCAAATGCGTATACTACTATTTGCCGGACTTCACCGTATTTGAGGCTGGTACGTACTTTTATTCGTGTATTTCTGTGTATATGTTTCATATATATCTTGGAGTAAACCATATATATATGCCATATGCGCATGTTTGGTACTATTGTATCAGGAGCGAATGGTCCAAGTGCGCATACCACTATTTACAGAACTTCACCGTACTTTGTACGTATTTATCTGCTCGCAAAGGCTCTCTATGATTCGCGTATGTAGCTATTTGTATACAATTATAAACAGTTATAAATCTTTTATCATACTCGAGGCTGACAAGGCTTTCTGCTATTTACAGAATTATTTCTAATATTTTAACGTATATAATATTAAGTATGTTGAAGGTTTTTGATTTTGATTATTAAGTATATCCAATTTGCTGTCGTATCCATTACAGTGCAGCTATTGTTTCTATGCATTTTATATTCCATCCATACATACGTATATACGTACACACACACACACACACATATATATATATATATATATATTATTTATATTATATTATATATAATAATTATTATATACTTAGTATACTATAGTATAGTATAGTATATACTAGGTAGTA